CTCTCTCTCTCTCTCTCTCTCTCTCTCTCTCTCTCTCTCTCTCTCTCTCTCTCTCGCAAACTAATGACCAAAATGCTGCTTTAGGAGCTCTCAAGCAAAGAGGTTTTTAAGAAGCTAAGGAAATAATAGATGCTGCTCTCCTGTTTTGTAAGGATATTTGTGAATACTTTGTCTAAGGTCTTGAAGTCGAGAGCTATATTTTGCTGAGCTTTCTCATAGCTTCTAGTTCATAATAGATGCTTGATAAAATTAAACAATGGACCACTAAGATGTCAGATCCAATTTAGGGATGGCTGCATTTTTTCCCCTTTGGAAATGAGGTAAACTCAAAATCTGTGGCTCAGTAAGTAGGTAGAACCATGTGCTTTCTGAGCTCTTCTTTTTTCTCATTCATTTCCCTCCTGAAAGTTGGCCAATGTCTTTGATCTTTAGGTTGCCTGAGGGTGGCACACACATAATGCTATATTATTCCACCTGGGTTGGAGTGTCAGCATTGGTATAATTGAAGGCAGTTGAGTTTTAATTGTTTCTGCTCTGAGTAATCCTCCCAAGCCACATGGAGGGTATAATACAACACAAGCATGTGTAAGTTACATAAAATAAGTGAATCATTTCAGGAGCACTGATGAGCAGATCACTAGCTTTGAGTGGTAAAAAATTAAAACTTATTCCACTGGTTTCTGAATTTTTTAATCTACTATAGATTTATTATATTTCATATTGTTGAACTCACACATTTGCTCACATTTTAATAGCTTTAAAATTGGGATGCATCTTACAATTTAGGTGGTCAGAAAGAATAGTGTCATAGTTTAAATGATAGATTTTTTATTCATAGTACATAAAATAACAATGCATCTTAGAATTGATAGCATCTTAGAGTGTATAAAATATAATAATGGCATCTTGAAGTTGATAAAATATAATATTGCTAATTATTTTCTGTTCAGGTTGAAGGAAAATTTATTGATTTTCCTTCTAGTGAGTCCATCTCTGATGCCTCTTTTAAGTGTCTAGGTCAATTTCAGTGATTCTGTTTTGCTCCACACAAACAAGGCTCTTATTCCCATCAACCCAGAATTGCTCTCACAATTGTTCACATCTGTGTATACTTTTTGCTTCTCTTTTAGAAGAACCAGGGAATCTAGCAGTAGTTGCTCCTCTCCTTTCCCCATCTTTCTCTACTCTTCAATAAACCCCTACAAGCTCATGTCCCCTGTTAGCCTGTGTGGCAAAATTGGCCTATGTGGCAGAACTGAGATAAAGTTACTGATAATGGGGAAATTCTCACCTCTACCCATTCTGGGATGTCAAGGGAACGCACTCCATCCTCTGCTTCCAAACAATAACACGGCCAGTATGGTTGGGGGATATCACCGAGGAGATGTTGTTGGTTAATATTCATTTTGAGTTGCTTGAGTAATCAGAAGCTACACCTATGCTTGGAAGGATAGCCCTGTGCTGGTTTTCCAGACCTGGACTCTTTCTGGGAAGAGGATGAGGAAATCAAGAAGTAGGTGTGGTGAAACTAGCATCATGGGAGGATTAGCTATTTAATAGATTGAGGCTTTAAGTGGTACTGGTTTCTATATTTGGGCGTGGTAACTTGAAGACTATATAGAGAAAGAATAAGCAAAAAAAAAATATATATATATATATACATATATATATATATACACGCACACACACACACATGCTTGTTTTATTAACATAGAGATGTAGTTTGTTTTATTCAATATCTTTTTCTTTTATAGCTCCTACCTCCTCTTTGGAATCTTCCAGTAGCATAGAACAAGAAAAGTACTTGCAAGCCTTACTGAATGCAGTTTCTGTCCATCAGAAACTAAGAGGCAACAACACCCTTACTGTTAGGCCAGCCCTTGCTCTGTCTCCAGGTAAGATTTGATAATACTTTTCTTCTTGACAACTACTATAAAAAGTCATATCTGTTCCTAGAGTTAGTCTCTTTAGTTATTTGTACTGTTCTTCACCATGACCCCTTTAAAGTTTTAGCCTGCGGGGCTATAAGTTTAGCTCCTTTTATTTAGAAATCAGGATACCATTATTAATATGTAGTAAATAGTAACTCAATATAGAGATTCAGTTATTTGCTTTTAAAAAGAGTAATAGGAGAGGAGGTGGGGAACATAAAGTCACTCTTTCCAGAATTTGTTTTACATAGAATCTGTTTTAAATAATTATGAAGTTGAATGTATAAGTTGGACATCTGTTTATTAAATGTATATTTATTAAAATCATGTCTAAATTTGAAATTCCCCAAATTTCTGAAGCCTATTATGATTTTCAGTACAATTTGTTTTTACTAGATCTGGATGAAGCCATTATGACATGTACTAATATTCTGTTTCAGTTATCATGTGATGGAACCCCAAAGGGTTCATGTAGAGGTAACCCTAATGTGTTAGACACAGGAGCATGTGACTTGAGAAGTTGGTCTCTTTGGCTTAATCAGCTATTCGAATTAGCTCAACATAAGCAGAAAGTGGCTTTTCTTGTAAAGTAACACCATGCATGCCTTGCTTCATTTATCACTAAATTCTCTGATTGCACTTGCCAAACCTAACTCCCTATAATCTTGCAAATGTGTGTTATCTCTGGTTAAATAATAACATTGCCTTGTTATCTCTAATAAAGTTTTGGGTACTTAAAAAGTACAATGTTTGGCAGCAATTAGACATGCTACACATGAAGATAACTTTTTGTCATTTGAGTAATGTTAACCCAAACGACATGGTTTTTGTTCTTCTTTTTGGCTGACTTTAGGGACTGAAAGGAGGACTTCAAGAATGTCCACTGTGCTTAAGCAGGTAGTGCCAGGACATTTGGATGTAAACCCATCCAATAGCTTTGCTCGAGGAGGTTAGTAAGATTGATTTTATAACTGAGCACTGATACAAGCTTAAAAGCAGAAAAATTTTTCTAGATAGCTGGTATTTTAAATCAACTAATTATGGTTCAGAGTGTTCTTAATTACCCTTTTCTAAATGAATGATTAAATTACAGATGAGTTTAGCTTCATGAGACAAGGAGTATGATAATTGCTGATGTCTTACATATTGATAAGTTTGGGAGCATTACGAGGGGCACGGAGTTTGTCTAAATGATGAGTCAGCCCTGGGAATACTCCATGATACTTCAGGTTTGCAGGGTAGAAAGACTGATCACAAAAGTACAAACAGCTAAAGAGAAGTGATTCCAGACCCGAGGTTGTGCTTCCAAAGTCTGTTATTTTTGTTCCTGTCCTCTGAAGTACTAGTTTGGAGAATAAGATAGAATGATATCCAGATAGCTGCTAGCATGAGGAACTAGAGAAAGGATAAATATTAGCTCTTTCAAGCTCCAAAAGATGGTCCACTTTGGTCTCTGGAAGTTTATGTGAGATTCTTTAATTCTGCAGAGGAAATTCCAAACCAGATATCTTGATTATAAAGTCCTACTGCTTTACAATGGAGTCATAGAATCTTAGACTCTTCCTCTCACTCCCATATAATGCTGAATCCCCTTGAAAATGTAATAAGTGGGTGATCTTGGTTCTGCTTGAACATCATAATGGGAAACTCATTTCTTCCTAAAAATACTCCTCTGCATTTGTAAGCAACTCTATTTGCTAGAAAGTTCTTATTCATATTGTTCTAAAAATCTACCACCATGTAACTTTTTCATGTCAATCCTAGCTTTGCCCTCTGAAGTTAGAAACTAAGTCTAATCTCCTACACTAAAAGCCCTTCAGATTTAAAAACCGTTCTCAGGTTTTCTCTGTAAGAATTTTAGTTAACTGTAAATATCTCCAACTCAAATAGTTGTAGTACACTCACCATCCTTATTATGCTTTGGACACTACATAGAATTGAACCCAGCACGCTAGGTGTCCATGTAGCCTAAGAGTACATTAGCTATGGGGACAGCCCCATCCCCAGGCTAACTCATACTGAGATTAATATTATTTGAAACCCTTATGTCTGCTTCATACATGATATTGTTCTTAACAATATACTGGCCTTGAAGGTTTCTTTTTGGACCTAGTATGTCATATATCTAGAAAATTTCATCTTTTTGGGTGTTTTTTGGATATGGATTATTGTTTTAGACCTTTGGATCCTGATTCTGTCTACCAGTGTAGAAGCTGTTTTTGCAAGCCTCTTATCATCCATAGCTTTGATCACTGTTTTCATGTGATTCTTTGTTTAAAAAAAGTGTTGAACAAGCCAAAGCTAAGGACAAAGGCTTATAGCAAAATAATGTAAGCCTCTCTGAAGAAAAAGATCAGTCTGTTAATCTATACTGGTTATGAGTTGTCCTGCTAAAACTCACCTGGCTTATATTTCTAAATCTCTGCCAATCTTTTTAACCCAATATTTGCCAATCTCTCAAACTATTAACTGCATCACAAAAGATTTTATAGTTATTTTGGCAAGACTTCTTATAGGAGTCAGTGCTTTTTCTTAAGTAATTTTAAATAGACCATTAAGAATCAAGATAGGGCCGGGCGCGGTGGCTCCCGCCTGTAATCCTAGCTCTCTGGGAGGCCGAGACGGGCGGATCGTTTGAGCTCAGGAGTTCGAAACCAGCCTGAGCAAGAGCGAGACCCCGTCTCTACTAAAAATAGAAAGAAATTAATTGGAC